GCATGTACTGTAGCTTCTTAGTTGTGGAGTATAATACAGATGGTATTTTTGATTATGAGTTATTGTCTTGTGGCAAAGATTGAATCTCGCACCCAAATACTTGGCAGGGCAGGCAAGATGAAAAAGCAAAGACTAGAGAGGAATTCAAGTAWTTGCTCAATGTGGTTAAATATTGGAACGTGGCACTGGAATTGAAGTAACAAAGGGATATACTGAATGCTTATTCCTTTGGAAATGAGCCTTAGGATGGGCTTAGCCTTTATAGCTCACAGCATCTCTCATTTCCTTTTCCTCTTTCACACAGGGCAGGGTTTTACCTTTGGTGTTTCAGAACAAGGACTGCAGAGACTCTAAAAATTGCAATTTCAGATCATGAAATTATAATGTTAGTTAAGATAGAGTAGGATGGGTCAGAGTATGGAGGTCTAACCAGTTCCAATGTGTCATTTCTGGGGTTTGTGTGTATTAGTGTGGCTTTGCTACATCTCTTTCTAATTTCCACATTTCTTTGACCACTTAGGGACAGACATATGAGTACTTGGTRAAAAAGTACTTGGTAACTTGGTGACATAAGTACTTGGTGAGAAAAGCTCCCTTTGAAATTGTACAACATAAGAAAGAAAGATGGGGAAAAAAAAGAAACTTTCTCTTCAAGATTTACAATTAAGCTTATTTGGTGAATTTAAATGTATGTTTTTCATTAAGTATAATCTTTGGATTTCAAGTTTATTTTTGAGTTATAATATACTTGTATCATTAAAAAAAACTTGAAAAACTTCTTAGGAGGTCCAAGTTTTAAATCTGCTGCAATGATTTCTTTTTGCATATGAATTAAAWTGAATTTGTGATTATTTTTTCCATAGCTTCTCTAGTTGTTAGAGCACAGAATCTCTTCACTATAACTAGAGTATTGTGGACAGCAGTGACAAAAATGTGGTACAAGGTTCTCACCCCTTTTTTGTAAGGGAAATGAGAATAGGAAATATGGTATTAAAAATTGAGGATCAAAACTCATGGGAGTAATTCTATTGTTGATGCAATTATACTTATGGAATTAATCTGAACATGTAAAAATCTCCTAGTTTATTGACAATATTATTGTATTTATGTAGTGCTAATTTGTTATGACTTGAATGTCTAAATCTAATTATGATGCAGAACAATCCATTTGCCTTTATTAATGGCAGTAAYTTGTATATGAAATGCCTAAATTTGCTCCTATTGAAACTTGAGACCCATTTCTCCTTGATTTTAATGCCGGAAGGAAAAAGCCTTTGCAATATTATGCATCTGGGCAGCTCAGTGTTTTTTCTGGGAATCTTTTTATTTTTTGTACAATGAAGGTAAAATGTGGGACAGAGCTTGGATACTTATTCAGGCTTAAATGAAAAAAAAAAAAAGTGAAGAAATACCTATTTAGTAACAATATTGCTTTCAAACAATTGGAAGTCACAAAAAAAAAAAAGAATAAAATCAAAATAAATGAAGTTGCTATAAAAATTATATGTATGATTGTGTAATATAGTATTGCAAGCAGCAGTCAGTATCGAAGTTGTTTTGYAAAGAAGCTCTGTGGGGAAATAAATGTATATTAAAATGAGATGAGGAGAAGTTGACTAAATAGAAAGCATTGTTTATCTTATACCATTTATAGGCTTTAAGAAGGGAARAGTGTCCTAGAGCCTGTGCCCTCTCCTCACTTCCATGTGTGTACTGCATCTCGAGAGTAGTAAAACCAAGGTGTCAGCTCACCTGGAGCGGAATGGGACAAGCCCTCTCTGGGGAAAACCTTTGTAGCTGTGTGTTTTGTTTTAGTTTTGTTTTGTTTGGATTCTTTCCTCCAGGAAATGTGAAGCTTATGAACAACTCTCTTCCGATTTACCAGTGTTTACCAGATTTTTGAGTAAAGCACAAAAAGCCAAATCTGGCTCACAAACACAGGCTGAGCAAGCCTTAAATAATGTCCCAGGATGTGCATGTGGCACTGACCACAGGATAAGGTCTCTATGTGTGCCACCTGATGTTACAAGAACCAATCTAGAAGCTGCTTTGTTCACTTGTTAAACTTGGATAAATGCATTAATCTTAGCTCTTTTATGTGTTATCTTTGCCTGCAGGGTGTACTTCCAAGGAAATACATGTTTTAGTGTCAGACTTCTCCATCAGTGGTGAGGCTGTAGAGATTGCAAAAGTGCCTTGACTGTTTCAAGAGCTCAGGAGATGCATTTCAGACCTTAAAGGCTTTTCCATAGTTGAACAGAAAGTTTAGGGAATAAGCAATATAGTGGCAAACCTTGATCAAAGTCTTTCCCGCAGTCAATATAATTTCTCCCATAACAGACCAAAAAGAGTCTCACCACCTTGCTTGCTTGCTGATTGAATTTAAATGGGAGGAAAAAAATTGCTTTATGGCATTGTGGAATTATAACTACTTGATGTATTCTCTCACTCAAATATTACATATTCTCTGGTCTTGCAATTAATCTTGTAACAGTGCAAACAATAACATAGGATTAATCAACCACGGTGACAAAAAGATCTTGATGAAAAGATGAACCCATATAAAATTAATTTTTTGAGTGACAGCTTGAAGCTTAAAGAAACGGAAAACATGGTACAAATTGTACCTAGCTTCAAGAAAGGGATTTTAATGAGAAATGCAATAGCACCGCAATACTAATCAGTTATAAAAACACAATACCAGTGGGAGAAAGTCCTCTTCTCCTCTGTTCCTCCTCTTCTCCTTCTCTTGCCTGATACACTAGAGAGAAATAACACACTGGACACCTATAGAGTCCAAGCTGTACTGCATTAATCAGAGCCAGCTGCAGACCTGAAGAACCAGTGCATGGGGGAGTTATTGAGTGGATTTGTGCTCATGTGCAGATGACTGAGACCAAAGGCTGCATAATTACTGAAAAAAGGAAGTGATTGAACTTCCTATGCATGTTCTATTCCTTACTAGATAAAATGTAAATAGAAAGTGTCCTGTGAGCTTTCATATGTCACCCACTCTGACAAGAGAGTCAAGTGAGTAGATAAACGTTAGTCTCCTCATTCTGGCTTCGATCTGCAGCTGCAGACGTGTTTGGGGATGCTAGCTGTACAGAGTTTTTGTAGTTCTTTTTGCTTAGCTTAGAAGTTTTCTGTGCTCTTCATTTCCTTGAATCTTCAAAGAACTTCAGATAACTTTTTCTAGAAATGAGACTGCATATTCAGCAATATTGGTGGGGTGTCTGGCACAACCCTGGACACAGGGAGCAGCTGCATTGCTCCTTCCCCTTGTGATGGGTAAAGGGAAATGAACCCTCCCCGATGCAGCTGAATTTCTTCTCAAATGACAGAAGGTGTGGATTAATCCAGGCTGTTGCTCATATCCTGCTCAACTAATGCTTGACTRTCCTTACCTCTGTTAGCATTCCCCTCAGTAATCAAAATTACTGTGCTGATGTTATATCAGTGAATGTTGTCCTTTATTTTTTACAAGAGCTTGGCTGATTTCTGCAAGCATGCAATTTTCTTTAAGGTAAATTTCTACTTTTTTATTTGTGAGGTTAAAATGAGTAATCAGTTTTCCTAAGTTTGCTATAGTTTTTGCTTGAATGAATACTTGGAAACAGTACTGTGAAGCGGAATGACTATAAAATTCCGCAGAAAGAGTGAATTACTTTACCATGATAAAATAAAATATAATTGACTGGCTTAAAGATTGGCTTGCCATGCTTCCTCAGATAGATATGAGTGATTAATGAAGTTGTATTTTCTTATGATTCTACTGATATGGCAAAAAAAAGGACTGAAAATGGACCATTGCACAGAGGTGAAGATGAAAGGCTCAGATATGCATGAAAGACATAATAGCAGTGAATATCCTGAAACTTAGTGTCTTTGCTTTTATTTTCATGTCCTATAGACTCCAAAAAGCAGCACATCATTTAGTAGATAAAAAAAAAAGCAACTTGTACTGAATGATAGAGCTGACTGTCGTCTAACAATATATCTAGGCCAGAGAGGCTGTGCTGATTTCAAAAGAGGTACCTCTTGGGAATCGGGTGCAGGGATGTAATCAGCTCCAGGCATCTGCAGTTTACTACTTCCATTTCTCAACCTGGAGTTGCTCTTGCTGCTTTCTTGAAGCCTTTTTTTGAGTGATGTTTCACATATACAGCTGTGAGCAGAATCTGTCACCTACATGCCTAAGATGAGTCATTGCAAACTCATCTCTAAATGTCCATATCATCATCAGGCTATGTTCAGGTACTGATTTTTAAATCCAGAATGTTGGAAAAGGAGAGATGGGTAGTCAATGCCTTCTTGCTCTCAGACATTGCTTTTTGATTTAATACCTACCTAATGTATCAAATAAAGAAACACACTATGGCTGTGGAGGGCAGGTTTTCTTCAATTTCTTTAATTTCAGAAAGTTAAGAGAAATACAAAGCAATGTGTTGCAACCAAACAGAGACTATTACTCTAGTTAATGATGGGAAAAAGAGAGTTATTGTCTCTTGTCTTTCAAACAATATTCCAGTCTCTACATTGTAAATATATTATTATTTTCTATGCTAGCTTTTATATAGTATGAGACAGATTCTAAATTCTAATTAAGTCTTAATGACTTAACAAATTTTACAAGATGGTTTTTCTTGAGTTTCAGTATGTTAGACCAAGGACTAGAAGAACACTACCTCAGTCAAACATTTGGCAGTTTGTTTATATTCCACAAGAATTAACATGCTCTTTTCCTATTTATTTCACTATTTAATCTTTATGTCCATYGTAAAGATTCTCCTTTTGAGTTGTACTGCTCAAATGTGACAGTAGCATAAGGAAAGCTTTTTATTAAGACACAGGAAACCTCTTTAATTGATTATAATTGCAGAAAAAATCACTCAAATGTATGCACTTCTTCATAATCAAGACTACCTCCAGAATCTCTCACCACAAATAATCTGGTTTGTAAGATGCAGTAACTATTCTTTTTCCCTCACATCCTCCAGGTTTAAGAGCCATACAGTGACATTTGCAGCCAAGATCATTATGCTGTGCACTAAGCTAATTTGAGAGGATGCTCAAATTTTAAGTGAGTGTTATCTGCTGTGGACCATATTATTTCAGCAAATTTGCACAAAGGAGTAACCCTGGGGGTACCAGAATGGAGTGAACTATCTGAAATGGTCAACCTTGGTCGACTGAAAATGGCTGTGGTGGTATTAGGAGCCTTTAAGGTTTCAATTAAACTGTCTAGTTCCTCTAGAGAAATTAAAAATACTCTAGTTTTGTTGATTATTTCTGAAAATAACTTTAAGAACTATACTTTAGGTTTACTTTGACTCTCCTGTATTTTCAGCCCTTTCAATTATTTATGGTAGCCAAGCAGAAGAGAGTAGTGGTGTATAAACTCACAGTTTCAGACAGCCAATGTGAATGCCTTCTGTTTTGAAAATCTGGAAGAATACCAACCAGCTCTGGAATGGCTATTTTCTTCTATAGATTCATCACATCCAGGACTAACTTTGAAATCAAATAAATGGAATAAAAAATTATCGGAACAAGATGACCAACACAGCTTGGAGAGGGAAAAGGTGAGTCAAAGCTAAGTCTATCAGTAATCCACAGCACCTCTAGATGAAGGCAGCTGTGGTCTCCCTCATGCTCCATTAGTATCAGCTGTTTGAAAGGAAGGAGTGAGAGTAGTCCTGGGATACCCCAGAAAAGCTTGAAAAACAGCTGCTCTTCTGGTCCCTTGTTGCCTTGGCATATGGACTCCCATGAGTCTGGTCCTTCCTATTCTACTTGGCATAATTCTGAGACCTCAAGGGGCTCCCTTACCCCTGATATGCTGCTGAATCCCAGCTGTATATGTCTTCYACAGCAGCTGTGCTCTTCAGGTGTCCCCAGGAGTTAAACAGAAGTATATATGGAGCAGCAGTCAGCTACACACATCTCTGGAGAACAYGATGTTGATGGAAAGAGAACAGTGCTTCAGGAGCCTGTCCTRGTACTGACTTCAACTCATTGTTCAGCTAGTATCATCAGGACAGAATTGTCATAGATGTACTTTGAAACTGCTCTGCCAAAAGGGAGATCTGTGAATGAAAGTCTAAACTTGTATCACCTCTAGCAAGAGGCTRCTGGAGGTCTTCAACCTAACAGGTAGCTATGGACTGACAGGAAAATGGTTGAGCTGCTGTTCTGCTTTCCAGTTTCCCCAGAACTCAAAGGGATAGACTACAGATAGAACTTCAACAAAAATATAAGGTAACCTTATMTCCTAAAGTGAAGATATTCCTTAGCAAGCTTTCTTGTGAAATGTGTTGTGATATTGGGCAATGACTTATTTATTAGTAAAAAGCAAAAAGTAGTTAAGTGGCTCCCCAGGCAGCATGTTGTAAGCCCTTTATTTTGTGTGTAATTGCAAATGCMATTGTAAATATGAAAGTGCTGCTGCACTGTACCCAAACTCTTCTCGAAGTGACATTTCCCAAGTCCCCTATCCAGCCTATTTTCACTAATGCCTCCTGATCAAATCTCATTTCTTTGGTTTATTTTTCACCTCTTTCTTGTCTGTTTTACTTAGTACTTCTCTACAACTCCCTACCCTAGTCTGGCAAGACATTGCAATGTCTCTTGCACTTAAGGCTCCTTTTTACTATATCCTTATTCTTGTCTGGTATCCTCTGCATTTAGGCTAGGGGGACAATGTATCTGAGAAACTTTTCTCTCCTTATAATAAACTGGTTCTTTAGTGTCACTTTTGCTCATCATTAGACTATTGTTATCTTTATTTTTCTTCTCCTGTCCCTCTGTTTTTTTCAGGTAGCAGCTGAACGTGACTATGTAGCCGGTACTATTGCTGATTTTCCTAAGCTTTCAATTTGCAACAATAATAGAATGCATAAAGCCTTGCTGCCCTTTCTTTTGTCTTTATGTACAACACATTTTATGTGTCTTGTTCTTATGTTTTTTTTATATGGAACATCCCTCTGGAAAATGAGGGGTAGAGTAAGAAGTTAGGTGTTGCTGGATTGTGGAAGACTGATTGTGTGCATCATCTCTGCCCAGGCAAAGAAGCAAAACAGCTTTTAGGAGGAGAAGTTGAGTAGTGGCAGAAYGATAATTAATGAGGTTCATTCAAATGCCTTGCTCCTGTGTAGTTAAGAGCTTTTTCTGGCTGGCCTTTCTTATATCTATGTTGTTATTGCTACTGATATGATGACTTATATGAATAAGGACTAAATGTTCAATTCCTAATACCTTTTCAGGAGTGTTTTTTAGTGCTTAGAATTCTCTTGAAAAACCYACTGAAGGTCTGTTGTGTCCAGCTATCAACTTACATGTTGCTGACTGCATATTTAATGCCAGTGGTGGCTTTGAAGGGCTGGATTATGCAGTTGGATTATTGCATCTTCTTTGTGCCGTGTGTTCGTAGTTGGTGAAATGTGCTGCAGAATAATAAAACAAAAGCCGACATATGTTCTTTCCTATAAGGCAAAGAATTCAGTTGTGCATCATTTTTCTGCTTCTTTGTTAAGTGTTTGTAAGTGCTGATATTTCACATTTATTATGTGTTCTGCTCTGTGTTTTGTTTTATTGTCTTTTTTTTGATCCTCTAGCTTCTCCTTTTTTACATAAAAGGAACTAAACTTGGTCATATTTAACAGTATTGGAAGAAAGAGAAAGGAAAAAAAAGAACATCATGCAATCCATGCAGCTCACACTCCTACAATCAGGAACATCAGCACTACAAACAAGCTAAGGATGCGTGAAGTATAAAGTCACATATATATATGTATATATTATATATGTATGTGTAAATATATATAGAGAGAGGACATTATTTTACRTGGAATGACCTATATTCCTGCTGTATCTAAGTGCCTCAGTAGTTCTGAATGAAATAGAACTGTGTTTTGTTTGTATTTCTATATCATAATAGTTTGATGGAGTCACTTTGATTTCTTATTGCTAATTTGTTTTTCATTGTTGCAAGTCCTCACCAACCAATCTGGCCATTTCTTTTGCWGGACAATTTTTTCCATGTCAATCATGTGCTGAAAGTGCCATCATCCTGTTTTAAGTAGTGGGCCTTTTATTATCAAAAATCAACTTTATCTTTGAAACAGTTATCTTTTAAATTACTGCCATGTAAAGGAAGGGAGGAGAGGCTTTATTTTCCAAATTTTTCTCCAAGAGCTTGCATTTTATGTACAAAACATCTGGAAGGAAAGGCATCATTAACACAACATGAAAGAATCCAAAGACAAAATAACCTCCTCTGGAAGCAGGGGTGACTATTTAATGAGCAATTTGCTTAATTTYTAGCCACCTTCTCCTTTCAGAAGAAAAGCAATAGAAATACATGTCAAAGAAACCAATCATGGCAAAATCTCTGTCCAAKAGTTAGAGTCTGATAGAAAGAGATTGTAGTACAAAAGATTGAAAAAAAGCATCTCTTCTTTCTCTGCCTCTCTTTTGTTGTGAGCACAAAGATAAGTRCATTGCAATCAGATGATTTTAATAAACAATCCAGTTGTTTGGCCTGGAAAACGTAATTCCAGGTGCAGCCTGTAGAAGCTGTTTGAATATGAACTTGTTCCTTTCTGAATTTTCACTCAGCTGGCAGGAGTGCATTGCTAGTTGTCAAGGGACTTCTATTGCTGTTAAACTATCTTCTCTGGGGGTGCAAATAAAGAGGTGTTAGGAGAGCAATTGCAGAAAAAAACAGTTTTTTAAATTCTCTCTCCCCACAAACACTTTAAAAGTCTTCATTTTCATAACAGTGTGCTGGACCTGCTCAATTTTGGGGCAGGATTGCAGTCTGGAGTGAGTATAACTTCTGCTGTGATTTAAAAATAGAAATAATTTTAAAAAAGACAAAAAAAAAAAAACGGAAATAAACAAAAAAAGTCTTCTATTGTGTGAAATCACATTTCTAAATAGACCTGGGGAGTTGAAGCAAAAATTCTACTTATCACTTAAAACCACTCTTAATTTGAACGAGATCTCCTTAATTTGAAAATGGCAGTGATTAAGCACTCTGAAATTTGGGATGCTCTCTCAAAAATGGCCCCACTGGGGAGTCAAACTGCGATAAAGTTTTTTTGTGTGTGATTATGTTGTGCCTACAACTCTGGTTCACTGACTTAATTCTGTGCTCTGTAGCCTACACTCAATGGTGATAAGAGCACCATGTGAGTTTGCAGGGATGTGAACTCTGAGAAGGAGCAAAAATGTTGCTTCTGTGTGAAGTTCAACTTCTTTTTTAAACAAAAAAGTGTTGCTCTCCAGTTTACAGTATAACAAATGTGGGTTTGTTCAGTCCTTTGCTTTTGGAGATACACACTCTGATGTTTCCGGTGGGTAAACTCTAGGGACTGATGCACTCTGTGTTATTGGTAGAGCAATCAGAAGTAATTAAAGAGAAGGAAGTCATGAATAAAAACATAACTTGAACAAAACCTAGAATTAAAACACATACTTTATGCATTTTATCTAGCGTTCTTATCAGAATGGTAATGCTTTTTCTAGTTTGAAGTGTTAATTGTACACTACAGGAAATGAACCAAGAAGAAGCTGTATGTGCATTAAAGTATAACTTTTCAGATGATACGTGACCTACATTTCCCATCTGCTGGGATTTTTGGGTTGGCAAAGCAGCCYATAGGTTTGGTAGTCAAGAGTTCCTTGTACAAGAACATTTCTTGTCCGTAAGTTCTAGGATGTTTCCCCAACATCCTTCCTTCTATTTGTAACTTAAGCAGAAGTATTTTCCTTTCTGATGYTTTTTCTTATTCTGATTCTGTAATTCTCAATAGAGAAAATCTGTCTTTAAAGATTTATGCCCTTTCTTTAATGAGAGAAACTAAAGTCAGCATATTGACATATTGTGAGCTTAATTGCCCCTTTTGGGAAGGGGAAAAGCTGCTAAAAAGCACAGCTCTATGGGTCTCAACCATAAAAAGGCAGCACCTGCTGCAAAAAGGTTACAGTCTAAGGACATCAGAGCTTGTGGAGGTGGATATTTGCAGACTGATGGGAGAAAACAATGTAAAATATTTGACAGYATGGTAGGGAGTCATCTTTGCGCACCAATAGATCTAACCCTGTAAAGCTTCTTGAAAAGTTTAAGGTGGAAGAAAAAAAGGTTTTGGAGAAAAATAATGAACCAGTCTGGCAAATTACTGGGGAATTAGATGAGGAAGAGATATGGTAAGAAGTTACCTCTTAAATTGGGTGCTCAGATGATGAAATGAGGGCTTATAGACTATTTGGAGTTGTGTTAAATGTTCAGTGCTGAATGGGTGAATTGGACSGTGAAGGACCATGGAAGGGCTTATGCTTAGTAGAGTTTGAAGGGAGGAAGGTAGCATAATGTGTGAAAACAGAGATTTCATGGCCACCAGACAGGGGTAAAAAAATAAATAAATAAAAAATAAAAAGTCAGCATTAGAATTCGGAATAGCTGGAGAATGTATCTCTTGGTAATCAAGAGATAAGGATTTGAGAAAGAACTTCAGCCTTAGCAGTTGCTCAGAAAAGCTTTACTTTGGAGAGGAGATGTAGAACAAACTCTGTGACCTAGAAGGAGAATTGGAGGTATTGGTATATACCAATTGGAGGTATATGAAATGCTGGGCTGGATGACTRTTGTTTACAGCAGTAGAAAATTGGGGACTTTGGGAAGATTATCTAAAGTTGTTTTAAAAAGAAAAGGAGAAAAAAATCTACACAAGTTTTTGCACATGTGAAAAAAAAAAAATGCAGCAGGAAGGCAGCTAAATGAGGTGAGGTCTGGATTTGGAGGGGTAGGTGAACAGAAAAAGGACCAAGACAGAGCTTTCCTGGAAGAAGCTGCAGATAGTTGCCCAGAAGGAGCAACTGGACAGTTGGACATGAGTATAACTCTACTGTGACATTCCTTCCAAGAGGCTTTGATTTGAAGCTGAATGGGGTACTTCTGCAAACATTTTTTCCTATGCTACGTCAGGAAAGAAAAATAATGATCAGCTATCTTAATTATTCTATTCTTGGGTACTGGGTCAACTTCTTGCCTACTACTGTGTTAGTTCAAATGTACTGTGGTATGACTTGGTTGATGATTAGGAAAAGACATTTTCCTAATGGTTTTAAGAATATAACCTAGTAGTTATTTTAAGTTTCTCTTTTAACYGACTTCAGCTTATGCATATAAAATGTGGACAACATCTATCTTCTTTTTCCTATTCCATTTCTTTCTTTCCTCTCTCTAATTTTCTTGTCTGTTCCCTTTTCACTTATGTAGGTTATATATGCCATGGATGGTTTGAATAGTTTTGCAGCTAACACTGTCACCTAGAAGTCATTCCAGTGATGTCTCTTTCTCTTAATATAAAACACACCACCCCAAAACTTTGCTGCAAGAACCTCATGGTATGAGAGAAGTGATGAAAACTGGATAGTCTCTTTTTCACAGCTAAAACAAATCCTTTGCCTCCAGCTTAGGAATGAGTATGTGTCTACCTTAATAAACATGAGGTCCAGAAGGGCAGATGTGTTTAGTGAAGCAGTTGTTGCTGAGGACTTGTACTATATATTTGAAAATGTTCAGTTAGCTGAAATCTTTGCTGTGCTTGGAAAGGGCAACAGAGTTTATTACAGCTAGTGTGATGCTTCTGACTATTATTTCTACCTCTACCAGACTCAGATTGTCATTTGAAGAGCTTCTTCTTGTCCTGTAAGTCAAGTATCAAATGTATTTGTGCCACGTGCTCTAGGTGACCCTGTGTGAGCAGGGGGGTTGGACTAGATGACCTCTGAGGTCCCTTCCAACCTTAAGCATTCTATGATTCTATGATTTAAAATAATACATAGTACTAGTACAGTAATTATTCCTTAAACAAAGCTGTATGTGTGACATTTTTAATAATCAGAAACACATAAGAAAAGAGTGACTACTAGTGCTATGGAGAGCTTATATTTGTGGATGGAACTGTTCATCTAAGTTTATGAAATTGCTTGGGTGAAGTACTGTTTCAACGAGTTCACAGGGACTTAGGTTTTTTCACTTAGATTTTTTTTGGCTCTGGATACTGTAATTCAGCGATCTATTTTTCATTGTTACAGTGAAGGTTTCAATTTCTATTTTAAGCCAGTTTTAATTTCCTTCTTGGCTATATTTAAAGGGACTCTATTAATACAATCCATTTCCCAAGTGAAACTTGATGGATATAGCTTTG